TTGTTGTTGTTGTTGTTGTTGTTGTTGTTGTTGTTGTTGTTGTTGTTTGTTGTTGTTTGTTGTTGTTTGTTGTTGTTTGTTGTTGTTGTTGTTGTTGTTGTTGTTGTTGGTAGAGACAAAAACAGCCGCCCAACATAGTTGTCACATGTTGCAAGTCAGGGATTTCAATGGGATTCTTTTAGGGATAGGGTCGAAGGTTTGGAGAGATGTTAGTAGCTGGACTTCTTGTCGTTGTGGTACTCAAGTCTTGGTTGGTCTGCTTCTTGTTTTTTGTTGTGTTGTTTTGGGGGGGGGGGGCAAAAAACAACAACGGGGTTGCAGATTTTGTTTCTAGGGGGGGTAAAGACAACAACATCTTTTGGAAGGGGGGGGTCCAAAAAACAACCACGGGGTTGCAGTTTTTGTTTCTAGGATGTGGTAGAGGTTCTAAGTAGAAGTTTTACAGGGTTTACTTAACTGGTTACAATAAGCATCACCAGTAGCATGACCCTCAGAGGAGTTTCATAGACCCTAAGAAGGCGTTTAAATCGACCATATTGCTCCATTGGAATCCAAAAACTTCCAGGAGTCTCCAAGAAAAGACTGATTTTCAGTGCATAGATTGAGAACCGGGTTTCCACCCCCTCCGCCTCCGCACATGCCCCGCGCACTGTCCACACGTCCCGGGGTGGGGGGTGTCTACCACTAGTAGTAGTAGCACTAGTACCACTAGTACTAGTAGCAAAAGTGCTGAGATGTTTTGGGGGGGGTCAAAAAACAACGACGGGGTCGCAGAATTTGTTTCTACCCCCTTGTAGAGAAAAAGAAAGAAGATGTGGTGTAACGGGGTTGCTGTTTTTGTTTGTACCTTGTCGTTGTTGTTGTTGTTGTTGTTGTCGTCGTTGTTGTTGTTGTGCCTTTCTTCCGAGTTCCCTGTGGCCCCGAGGGCCAACTCTCCGGCAAAGGACCCGTCGGCATGGCCCGATCCTCTGGGCGACTTGCTCGCACTTTTGGCGGCACCTGCACCGAAAGGAAAAAAAGACGCGCGGCACCATCCATGGCAGGTGCACGAGATGACACGTGGTGCACGGTGGTTAAAGGGGGAGTTTGCTGACCTTGCACCAGATCATTTCGGACGTCCACCTGCCACCTGTTTGGAAAAACCCATTTGGTTGGTCTGCTTTGGATGCAAAAGACCTGCGAAAAAGGGAGAGAGAGAACCTAGAGGAACTCAAAAGAACATCGATCAATTTGGTTGAATGCTTGCTTGCTCGATCCAGCAACAACCCGAAGAGAATCACCAAGAAGACGAGCACAAAGCTTGGCCGGCATCCATCCCAGATCCTCTCGCAAACGGTCGGCCTGTTCCCAGGTTCTCTGCACTGGAGCTGCGAACCCCGGGGCCTTCGCCGATAGACGTCGCAGTCGGTGCAGAGTGGCCAAGCTTCCGGTGCTGGCGGTACCGATGTGGAGGGTTTCTTCTCCCACAACCAAATGGCCACCCCAGACAAACTGGACAGTGCCGAAACTCTTTAAGAAATAACGAAAACACCACGAAGTGCTGCTAACCTGTATTTTTGCGGGTGAAAAAGATCCATTCACCGGCTTTTCCTCTGTCACCAGTGTCCCTCCACAAGCAAAGGACCCTCCGCAGGCGCTCGGCTCGGCGCGGACCGGCGCTCGGCGCCTGCACCCCGCCAAGGCACCGTGGGAGTGCGTGACAGCACCCGCTGGACACCTGATCCCAACAAGTCCAAGCTGAATGGAAGGGAGTTAGAAACGAGAACCCCTTTTTTCTTTGGATGTGTGTCTTTTTTCCGGACACCAAGGAAGAATGGACTCCCACTTCTTCTCCGCTGAACCCTGTCGCACCTGAGCAGCTTCGGGGGCTGAGTACAAAAGCAGGCCTCGGTGGGGAAAAACCACCAGCGGCACTGGGCTCACTGTGGTGCTGGAGTTGGCGATCGTGTTAAGAAATTTCCCTACGAAACCAATGGAGACAGGCGCCAAAGGCGCCCGACTTCTTACACACACAAGGGAGAGCAAGGACGCTACGAACGGAACAAAGGGCATCGCTACAAGGAGGCTACTAGGACGCTACGAACGGGGCTCCTGGCCTCACTACTAGTAACAAGAACGCTACTAGAAACTTGTGTGGCAAGCAAGAATGCCGAGGTCGAGGTTGATCGCTTCCTTGAAGCACTGAGCTATTGACACCTGCGGGTACCTGATGAGCAGAATTGTGGCTTGTGACCAGACAGCGTGAACCCCTTCTGCCACGTTAGCAAGCAAGACCTTTCTCTGCCCAAGGCCTATGCATCTCCATATGCAAAAATACATCTACAGCGATGAAAGAAAGTTACTATGCTTGTTGACTGAACGCTTCCTGACAGACGGCATACTAGTTTATATACATCTTATCCGTGGAAAGTAGGGTACACACAGCTCCCTTCTCATGTAGATCACGATGGAACCCCTTCACTTCGATCTCTTCCTCCACTCTTGTTGCCTTCTCTCTCTCTCTCTCTCTCTCTCTCCCCTACCATCGCTTCGCGGACTCTTTTGACGCCCTACCATGCCAAGAAAAAAGCCACGTTGAAAAAAGCCACGTTCTCTCCTTGCTTCGAGAAAACACCCCCTGTTTCGTCCTTTTTCATCACCGACACGAAAAGGCTCCGATGCAGCGCACGGGCGATGCAGCGCGGTGCCCGGAGAGGAGCCTCGTCACGGCGACCCGACGGCCGTCGGCTCGTTGAAAACACTGGGACCGTGCGAGGTCGCACAAAGCCAATCGCAAAAAAGGTAGGAAGGGTTCATTCCGGCAACATGCCGAACAACAACCCAAAAAAGAAAGCGTTTCCTTCCACAGCCACTGGCCGTCACTGGCCAGCTGTCTGTCCAAGGAGCTGTACACCACGCCCAGCTGCGTGGGTGGAGCCACTCGTCCAGCCTCTTCGGCTGCGCGGAGCAAAGGAGGCGTTGCGCGACCAGGCTGTTCACGTCAGACAAAACATAACAAATACTGTCTTGTCATGTCCTTTAGCATGGTGGCTTGGAAAAACAATAGTCAGAACCAAAAAAAAAAGGACCCCTGGGCTTAGACCCTCCGGGAACCGTCTGGTCCACTTCGTCAGAGAATCGAGACTTACCACCGGGTTGGTTGGATGAACATCTCTCAAAACCGGGTTGGCCAAACAACAGCACTGTCTTTCTGGAATAGATTTCGTGGCAATCCGCCAATGAAGAACCCAATGACTCTATACAAGCCACCAATGAACTGCTATCCCTGAACAAACCGAAACAAAAAGCCAAAGAGAACCGAATCTTCACAAGCAACCCAATGCAAAAAAACAAGGGCCTTGAAAAAACAATAAACCTAACAAAAGAAAAAAAAAATCATTCCGGGCACTTCGGCACTACGCCCCACGTCGGGAGTGCCTTTGGTTTCCTTTTGGGGGTCGAGGCGGCGCGAAGACGCTGAGCGCCCTGGCCGGCTTGGGACGAGCTGGCATCGACACCATGCCTCGGCACCGCGGTGGGTGCGGTCGGTGCGAGAAAGAAAAACGCGAAAGTCTAAAGATGTATGTTCCCTTACTAGTAGTAACAGGTGCATCGCTAGTAGTAACAGGTGCCTTACTACTAGGAACAAGAAGCTAGTAGTAACAAGTGCCTTAC